GTGTAACCAAATTTAACAATTTTACAAGTGAAACTGGAGTTCAGAGAAGTTAAATGACTTGCTCAAGATCACACAGCTAATAATAGGAAAAGTTCAATTAGAATCTGTCATTTTCTTTCTTGATTAACTTCTATTATAGCAGGATTTCCAAAATTTTATTTTTTCCTTTTTAATGATGAGACTCTTTCTTCCAGCTATTATTTAGAAACCCAATATATAAAACAGAGCTCTAGCTGGATGGGAACAGATGTGAAAGAGGTTCTGCAGGCCCATTCTCCTCACATCCACGGAATTCCAGAATTCTTTGGAGACACCCCTGGAGAATGCCCTGATTCCCTGGAGCAACATTTGATACATTTACTAATCATTGCTTGATAGCTTTCATTCATTTATTTATTAACCAGCTACTTACTGAATGTTTACTGTGTGCGAGGCACCTTTTGAAGTAAAAACCTTGAGCAAAACAGACAGAAGGAAAGGTGTGTGGTGGGGTGAGACTTCTCTCCTGGGCTCTGTCTCCTGCTGGTCTGTGGCCGCCTTTTCTACCCCTTCAGTGCAATTTTGGATATTCCTTTATCACTTAAATTGGGAAAACACGTTTTATTTATTTTTATTTTTTTTTTTACCCTACTATCATAATTTTAATATTTTACCAGTTTTAACATAACCTTAGAAATAAAACAGGCATTATTAACAATGTAAAATTGAAATTTTATCTAGAATATTGCGGTTTCTTGTGAAGATACTATTTAATTATTCAGGCCTCTTTTATTTATTTATTTATTTATTTATTTTCAGGCCTCTTTTTAAAAAAATTTTTTTTAAATAATAAATTTTATATTCCCCATACAATTGCAACCCCCCCCCCCCATTCTGACCCCTTTAAAACCATCCTGCAATTCCCTTCCTTTACTCCCCCTGCTGTTATTCTGACTTGACTTGAAAAATTGTTTGGTCTTTCTTTGCTCTAAAAGGATTCCTTCAATTTCTTTTTTAACTGGAACTAATTTCTGTCTCCACTTTATTAGAGATGAGGAACTTGCCAATTCCAAGACTACTATTTCAGCACCGTTTGGATAAACTTTGTAAGGAAACTATACATCCTAATTTAATCGAGGCAAAAAGAAAATCTCAATTCTGGTGGACACAATTAAGGATCCTATACCTGTTGTCCCCTAATGTAGCTTACTATAAATTTAAATTTATAATATAGAAATTACTCTTTCCAACATTACTAATAAACTCAAACCCCAAACTTGAACTGAACCTTCTTTCAAGTAGGCTACATGGTTCTCCGAATCCCCTCAGTCCCTGAAAAAAAAAAGCAGGAAGAGCAGACAGAGAGCTCTGGGGGTCACTGGGGTTAAATCCTGGCTCTGCCCCTCACAGGCTGTGGATCTTGGGCAAACTCCCTTATGTTTCAAGTTCCTCATGTAGATATTAATACAATGGCTGTGAAATCAGGATCATTGTGTGAGTAAAAGAAAACTCCCCTCAGCAGTGTATTTCGTCACTCTGCCTCTTCTGTTCCCAGCTCTGTCTCTGGTGAATCCTCTCACCCTCCCTCGCCTATATTTATACCCCGGTTCTTTGCATACGTAAATAAATCTTAAAAAAAAAAAAATCATGTTAAAGTGGCTCAGTGCCTTGCCCATAGGCTCCTAACACATCTTGTTTCTTTTCTCTTTTTCTTCAAATCTAAAGGTTATATTTCAAGTGCAATGATTTCACTGGCTACACAATTCACCTGGGGATTGTGTCAAAATGCAGATTCAGAATCAGCAGGTATGGGGGGGTGGGGCCTAGAATTCTGCATTTTTAACAGGCTTCCAAGTATTCACTTGCACAGTGTAGGGTAAAGAAAATATCAGGCTTTTCTGCCCTTCCGCCATCAGGATAGATGATGGATCCTTGTCCTGAATGCATGCCTGATGGCGGGCACCTGGAGTAGGGTGTGGGCATAGGTAGATGGGATTCAGCTGAGCTAAGACTGTGCTTTTAAGGGCGGCATCACGGGGACGCCAGCAGCAGCAGTAGAAGCCGAAGCCGAAGCCGAAGCTGAGAAGCAGCAGAAGGAACGCTAGAGAGCCCAGATAGAGTGAAGACTTGCTGGGGGCTGGGAGGCCTACCAGCCTCCCAGCCCCCCAGCCAGCACCCCTGCCTGCCATATGCCTGGTGAACCCCAATAAAAAACCTACAAAATCACTGAGGACTCTGACTCCTCCTTTACCCGGTCTGCATGGGATCAGAGAACCTGCACTGTGCCGGTTCCTGCCCCTTACACACAGTAAATCTTAGGACATGGAAGTGTCCTCACTTTGGAATCAGACCTGTGATTATATCCTGCCTTTGCAAGTCATTTCATCTTTCTGAGCCTCCTTTTCCACTTGGTTTACTAAGCACCACAGGTAAAGTGAAGGCTTAACATAAGATAATGGGTACCTGGAGTATAGCACCATTATTATAATTTTACCTTATTTCGACACGTTAAACTCAATGCTACCATATTGCCATTGAGAACATTTAGAGCCTGCAGCTACTGGTGGAGGGAGGGTGTATTGAATAGCACCTGCCTGGCACCGAGGTGGTGAGACAAAGATGCTTGTTAATACTGAACATATGATGCACCTGTTGGCCAGGGCTGACTGAGAACCAGGAAGGGTTGTTTTGTGGAGGCCCTGAGGCCCTAGTGAGAGTTTTAGTGGATGCTCCTCAGAGTTCCCTTCTACAATGGAAAACCAAGTACTCATTGTTCAACTGGGTGTTAAAAAAGGGAGCTATGCACATTATTTTTTTTCTTTCCTTCTGGAAATCACTATGATTCTGAAATTGGAGACCAGGATAGCTAAGGCTAGTGTCACTGGTAAGGAGGATTTGTGTTGACATGGGAAGCTCATTGCAGGCTAGATACTGTTTTGTCCAGTAATCTAGTCAGGGTTCACTGAGACTTCCATGCAACTTAATTTCTAGGAAGAAGGCTAACATTCCTGGGCACCTCAGTAGGGCTTGTACAGTCTAAGCTGCCATGTTCCTTTCTCCTTCTTTGTCATTGAACTACTGTAGGGTAAGTGAAAAAGCATAAGGCTTTTCTGCCCTCCTGCCATTAGGCTTGATGATGGATCCCTGCGGTCCTGAATGCATGCCTGATGGCGGGCACCTAGAGTGGGGTGTGGGCATGTGTAAGTGGGTACATCTGGGCTGAGAGACTGAGCTTATAAGGGTGGTGTCTCAAGGGCACCAGCCGAACCACGAGAGAAGCAGAGAGAACAGGAGAGAAGACTGGAGAGCCAGGAAAGAGTGAAGACTTGCTGGGGGGCTGGGAGGCCTGCCAACCTCCCGGCCCCCCAGCACCCCTGCCTGCCCTGTGCCTGGTAAATCCCAATAAAAGCCTGCAAAAGCCACGAAGGGCTCCAGGACTCCTTTACCCCGTCTGCTAGGGTCATAGAGAACCTGCACTGTGCCCATTCCTGCATTACAACTACATTTCCACTTTCCTTTTAAAAAAAAATAATGGGGCCTCCCCCGTGGCACAGCGGGTTGAGTGCTGCTCTGTGATGCTGTCTGCAGCCTCCGCAGCTCCGGTTTGATTTCCCGGTCAGCCAGGGAGAATCCCACATGGCGAGGCAGACCTCTTCTGTCTCGCCCGCTGCTCCCCTCAGCAATGCCTTCCGTCTGTCTGCCTGTTCTGCTCCCTGCTCTGTCTCTGGTGAATCCTCTCACCCTCCCGCAACTCTGGCCTGTACCCCAGCTCTTGTATAAATAAAAATATTAAAAAAAATGAAAAAATTTATTTAAAAAATTCCATAAGGAATATATGCCTATATAAAATACAGGGAGGAAAAGAAAATAAGTGTCCCTGAAGCCTACCACCTTAAGATAGGTTCTATTAACATTTGGAAGCAATATTTTAAAAGTTGTGTGTTTATCTCTGTGTGTACAGTTCACAGTGAAGGATAGTTTTTATAATTTATAGTTTTTAATGATTGAAAAAAGACTAAAAGAGAATTTTATTTTATGCTGTGTAAAATTGATAGGACATTTGCATTTCAGTCTCCATAAGTAAAGACTTATTGGAACACAACCACACCCATTTGCATATTTATCTAGGTCGATTCCTGAAGCCACAGCGGAATAGTTGTGACAGCTCTTGCCCACCACGCCTAAGAAGTTTACAGTGTGGCCCCTCAGGGGACAAAGTTTGTCAAAAAATCAACAAGCAACTATAAACCAGAGACACACTATGGGGGTGGGGGAAGGAGAAGGATTAGGGCCAAAATAAGGGGGGTGGGAATTGTATGGGGAATATAACCAAAGTGAAAATGCATACATTGTGCAAAAATGAATGATGATGTAAGAATTACGTAAAATAAAAAAGTGTTGCAAATTACAAAAAAAAAAGTTTGTCAAGATGATCATCTGTTTAATGATAAAGGTATCGTCCCTTTTTGAAAGTCTCAGTTTGGCCACTTTGCGTTTACTTAAGTGTGTTTTATGTCACAAGTCCACAGGCAAAACCCCCGCGGGTTCTACGCAGCGGCTGCGCGCCCGCCAGAGGCCCAGCGAGGCCGCCAAGCCGCCTCCTCAAATGCTCCAGGCAGGTGTGTGTGTCTCTGCTTTTTGCTGTTATTGTTGTTTTGGGTTCTATGTGTTATTTGGCATCATTTTCGGTTATTTTTGCGTCTGGGAACACTGATAAAATTGCATGTAAATTAATGGTAGCTATTTCGCTTTCTGCCTTTCTGGCTTAGGAAAGCTATCCCAGGAGCTGGAGAATGACAGCAACCTGTGTGTCTTAAGCGTTTTCCACATCGAGAAATAACTTTCTCCACAATAACCTTAGTTTTTCATTAATTTCATAAAAAAAAGGCATAGCCGTTTTGCCCAGATCTGTTGTCTTTGTCACAATGTTTATTGTTCTCCATTTTCATAGCACTCTCCATTAACAAAGCGTTTTTATGTCATTGACTTCTCACAGGCCCCAGCGGGTCAGTGTTGGGTACATGGACGTTGTCAGGCGTTCCCTGCCCTCCCGGCGTGAGCATCAGGGAGCCACACCTGTGGCCTTGTGCGCATGCCTCATGGCGGCACCTGGGGTGTGGCGTGGGCGCCTTCAGTGCAAGCACCTGAGCCGGAGGCTGCGCTACGTAAGGGCGGAGTCAGCGAGCAGAGAACTGAGCGCGGCCACGTCTGGCAGTAGACACGAGAGGAGAGACCAGGAGAGAACGCCTGAGAGCCCAGAAAGAGTAGATATGTGTGTGTGTGTGTGGGGGGGGGGGGGGCTGCCAGCCTCCTAGCCCCCAGGTTGCCTCACTACAGATGCTGTAGAAAATCATCAAAAGCCTGAAAAGCCACCCAGGGCTCCAGGACACCTCCTTTACCTGCCTGCCCGGATCCTCGAAGAGCTGCTCTGCCTTGCTGGTGCTGCAGTTAGGCATTGTGAGTTCACCCGTACTCTCTCCTTGTATGTAACAGGATCCAACTTTGGTGTCTTAAATAAGAAAAGGGGACTGAGGGGAAGTGATTTAAAAAGGGGCCGCGGGGCTTGGCCGGGAACCCTCCGGCAGGGCAGCAGCTGGGCATGGTCTCCTCTCAGCTCCTTCCTGTGTCTGTTCTTGAAGATCCTCTACTGGTTAGTAGTAGTGGTGGGCATTGGTTGAGCATAACAAGAGGTTTCACTAGTCCCACCAGTTTGAGGGAGTCAATTTGTTCTCTTTATGGCCCGAATCTAAATCTTACAAGGGAAGAAAATATAGTCGACCCAGGGTTGGTCAGATTTTGCTGCTACAGGTACACCTGTAACAGGAGAAAATGCTGCTGGGGCATTCTTGATAAGACAGCTCCTCTCAACATTGGGGGACAAATAATCGTGAGTTTTACACTTCTAGTTATCTGCTTCATTGTTTTGCTTGTATTTACAAAGGAGGGAATCAAGTCTTAGAAACACCGAGGGAATTATCCAAGTAGCAAAGTAATTTGTCAATATAGACATATGGACTCCAACCCCAGGTGTGTTTTGAGTACAACAGACTGCTGCTTGTTGAATGCTGTGGCTCGGGTTTTACAACAGTAACATCCTGTTTGGGCTGCTGATCATGGTTTGCCCGTTTTTCATCTCCATGTTTGGCATATGATTGGAAACCGAATTCCCTGTGTCTTTTTGTCTACAGGCTGCAGCTGGGAGCTGGGTGGACAGACACAGGTTTTGGAATTTTCTCCTGATTGACTGCGGTGCTCAGAGTGCTTTGATCCGTCAACGGAGGGAAATTGAGTGAAAATGTTCCACATGCTAATCTGGGCGGGAATTCATTGCTTAGCCCAGCTTTCGTCTCACATCTTGTGCCTAATGCCAGTAACGAAATCTCCAAGCTCAATTAGCAGTGGTTACAGCCCAGTGAACACGAATCCAGAAGCTGCTTTGACATGATGTTTCATCAGCGAGTGCTATAGCCACAGACCTGCTCCTCAGCCAGTGACGAGGACGCCTCAGGTATTGCAACTCTGATTCTGGGGCAGTTAAGTAAGATATGTCAGGATTTTATGATTTTTTTCCTCCTAAGTTGAATAAATAAATCATAAGGTTTTATAAAACATAGCTCTGAAATAGTGCTGAGACAGCTGTGATTGACCCACGCCAACCTGTGTATTCCTCCTCCTCGTTGCAGTTACTGATTTGGGTTTAGTAAAAATGACTCATTTCAGGACAGTGAAGGAAAGGAAATCCCAGGACCTGTATATGTGCTGTTAGAACTACTTTCGTTTCCCTGGGTCGTTAGGAAAAGGATCTGGGGCCCGAAAGCAAGGCTTCCATTGTGTTGTCGTAATTCTTGAGCTGCTGCATATGTGCGGGGCATGTCTACCTAAATGGGTTTTGATGAAGAAGCCCCTGGAAGGCAAAACTAAAGGTCACAAACAACGAGGGTCCTTGGTGATAATGTCTGAGCTGCTGAGTCAGCAAACTACATTCCTGTGAATGGGTTGTGTAAGTCATTGAAGCTGGGTTTTAAACAATTTGCATTAAATTCCCAGTTACAGGTAGAATCTTGTATTCTCAGATATAAATACTATCACCAATCTGTTCTGGATAGATTATATTTGCTTAATAATTTAACTGGCTTCTTCAAAGGTGGAACACACCTGTTACATGATGGCCTGTGGATGCCTCACAGTCCAGTGAAGCAATAACGAATCTTCTAGTTTGGATCCGGCCTTCTATTTGCATGGCTACTGTTGGGTTTGAGAGTTGAGCGGTTGCTTTATTTGACAGTGCTTGAGGTATTTTGATAGAGAGGGAAATAATTGTATAAGTTAGGTTAGGTGATCCCCTTCCCTCCTTATGGTCTGAATTTTTCCTGTTCATGGGGAACTGAAGCCCGCGTGGTATGTACTCTGGCTTTTGGTTGATGAAGTTTCACTCAGAGTGCTCTGGAATGTGGGGAAGGTTTTGATGAATCTGCATCACCCAGACAACATCTTTCCCTGTGTGAGTACTTGGCAGGTGTGTGTGCTCAATTCTGCCAGTGACTTGTGAATTGAAGTCAGCAGGGCTCGCTCTTAGCTCTGAACAGCAAGGGAACTTGATACTCTTGAATTACTTTCCCTTTTGGCTTATTATATGAGACTGGTGGTCAGAATTTCTTTTTCTTAATTTTGCCATGGAGATCATTCTCATACATTCTGCTAGAACCACATGCATTTAGTAAGAGTTGGTTACCCCAGGGAGGGATACTGAGAACACCCCCTGTCAGGTAAGTGAAATTGGCAGGCTTTTTCGCTGCTAGCCTCTGGCTATCACCTGTGACCTTCGGTGCAGAAGCTGTTTTGGGGTGTGGGCTCAGGGCACGCATACCTGATGACGGACAACTAGAGTATGGTGTGGGCATGTGTTAGTAGTCACATTTGAGCCTGGAGGCTGAGGGGGCAGTGTCATACAGAGACTGGGGGTTATAGAGGGCGGTGGCAGCATGGCTATGAGAGGAAGACTACAGAGAGACAGGACCATCAGACACCAGAGAGAGCCCAAAAGCTCTGGAGAAAGAGTAAAGAATTGCCAGAGGCTGGGAGGCCTGCCGACTTCCTGATCCCCGCTGCCTCCCTGCCTGGCCAGCCTGCAGGATTGCCTCACAATAATTGGTGTAAAAAGACCATTAAATCCTAAAAAAAGCCATGGAGGGTTCCTGGACTCTCCTTTCTCCTTTATCTGCCCAAATTGATAGAGAACCTGCCCTATGCCTTGCTGGCACTGCACCCCCTCTCCAGCCAAAAAATGAAAAAGAACAAAAACACCCACAGTAGTTGAAAGGTACGGCGAGGTAAAGAAGAGCCAGGCCAAGTTTCCTTGGGGGGGGTGGGGGAAGGGAAAGTTTATTGCTCCCGGGCGGACCTCACAGACCCAAGGCGGGGGTCAGTGGAGTCTCGCACGTTGTCAGGGGGAAGCAGGGTTTTATAGGGTGAGGAGAGGTCAGGTGGGTTCCTTAGGCGGGAAAAGTTTGTAGGGCGTGAAAAGGTTCGTGGGGCAGGTAGGGGTTCTTTGTCTGAGAAGAGACTCGTGGGGGGAGGGGGGAGGCGCACCACCTGAATCCTCCAGGCAGGTATCCACATTCCTGCCCCCCAGGTGGGCTTCCTGGTTGGCTCCTGCATTCCGGCCCCCTGCATGGACCTTTCAGTAGTTTCTTCACATGTGTCTGGATATCCTGATTCTCTGCGCATGGGTTTTCCCCCAGTCATAAACGAGCAGTGGTTTGGGAGGCTTGGGAGGCTGTTGGTGTAAAACAGCTGTATTTGAATATTCTGTTCAGTTACCATCAATTCGCTAGCTCACTTTCGTGTACTTATGAAACCTTCTTCTGAGTGTGTGCAGGGATGGTATTAAAAAACACTAAGAAGCTTTACAATAGTACGTAATTTTTTTATCTATTAAATTTCCTACATTGTTAATTCTTGGACAGTAATTGATTTACAGTAATATATAGTTAATGTATAAATCAAATGAAACAGTTAAAATGTGTGTTCCTTTTTAGTCTCTGAACCGCACTTATGAAACTGCTTAGCAAGTGATAGAAGTTGTAGTGTGCATAGTTCATTAAAATGATGACGGTGACTAGATCATTTGTTAATTTTAGATGTTGTTAATGTGATCTTTTGTTGGCATAGCTGTCACATGCTGCATGATACCTATGGAATAACACAGGATAGTGTATATATAGCTTGCTCTTCACCCACCTCTCTGTGGATAGTCATTAGCTGACTTTCAGTTTTTAAAAAGTAGAGAATTTCCTTTAAAATTGATACTATCGTTCATGGTCCTGAGACCTATTTAAGTTTCTGCCAAACTAAACAATTGCATTAAAATTGTTTTCTCAATTTTATAATGTTGCCTAATAATTTTATTTATTTATTTTTTAAAAAAAGATTTATTTATTTATATTTATTTATTTATACAAGCACTGGGTACAGTCAGAAGCGTGGGAGGGTGAGAGAATTCACCAGAGCCAGAGCGGGGAGCAGAGCAGGCAGAAGGACCGAAGTACACTGCTGAGGGGAGCAGCGGGCGGCAGGAGAAGTCTGCACGCCATGTGGGACCCTCCTCCGGTGGCCGGGGAGCAGCCAGGGATGGAACCGGTGCTGCAGAGGCTGCGGGCAGCTTTGCAACCCCGAGCTAAAACTGCTGCGCCACCGGGGAGGCCCCTAATAATTTTATATGGTAAAATTCTCTCCCATCAACTAAGTCATGAAAATCATTTACTGGAATGACATTTTTAATTAAGCTGAAACTATTCAGGCCAAATGACAGGTGGTACAGTATGAAGGCTAAGCATACACTCTCTGTCACTGAGGTGCCTGGCTGGAGATTGGGACTCAACCACTTATATTTTAAGTAACTTCTTTGTTCCTCAGTTTCTTTATCTGTGAAATGGGGAATGATGGTAATCACAGGACTCTAGGAAGTATTCTTCTTTTTTGGGAGCCTTGAGCTTACAGGGGCTCCCACTTCCCTCTGGTGTGACCATCTTCCAACCCCATCTTTCTGTTACTCTCAGAGCGTGGTTCATGCTGGACCCAGTTTCCACAAGTAGTCAGTAGGGGGATTCAAGGAATGCTGTCCCAAGGTGGGCTGTCACAGCCTCTGTGTTCAGATGGCCATGAAGGACTTACCTAGGTTAGAGGGTTGCCAAAGGCATCCTCGACCCCTTTTC